AGAGGATGTAAAGGTTAGGGACCATTGGGTGTATAGGTATGACCATGGGTATTCACCTGAGGGAGGTCTTGGACCATGTGCCAGTTTCCATTAGGTTTCCAGACTGGGAGAATGGGGGTGTTGCCAGGAGACTGACAGGAGACCTGCAACCCATGATGTAGAAAGCAAGACATCAAGGATTGCAAACCCTCCCTAGCATAAGGTTAGATCCCCCAAGTGACATCTTTAAGCTAGATTTTGACAAGCTTAGCACGTATAGCTCAGCCTGGGACCCCATTTTCCCATACCCGAGGATTAACTGTCCCCTGAAAAAGGGAAGGGAAGGGTCTACTGTTGAGGCTAACATCATTAGGCACGGAAGCAAGGAGACAGATGATCCCAACTTAGTCATGAGGTCCTGTCCAAGGAAGGGACAAGGACTCTCAGGAAAAACCAGAAACCAGTGTGTAAAGAGAAGGTCCTCCAAGCAATAGGTCAAAAGACCAGTTTGCCTACCCATGCTGGGCTTCGCATCCAATCCCCACTAGGGGTTGGGGGGAAGGAAAGATCTGATAGGAGAAGGACGTGGGGATAGAAGTTGTCCCTGTATCAATCAAAAAATTGATAGGCTTACCCTTGATATCGACAGTTACTTGTGGTTCAGCCAGAGATGTTCAAGGAGGAAGGTAGGCCTTCCGTTGGGTACTGTCAGTACAAATCCTGAGAATCTCGGATGACAGGGTACTGGGAAGCTGGCTTCCAACCTCCTGCAAGTCCACCATGGGGGAGGTCCCACTTCCAGTGGTCCTCCTGCTTGCACAGGGGTCAAGGACTTGGTGGCTGTCGAGGCCTGGAGGATTTCAGGGGGCAATCTCTGGACCAATGACCAGGCTTTTTGCAGGTGAAGCAGCTATTTCCAGAACCTTTCTGAAGGGTTCACCATGACCAAAGTGGTTGCCAAAACCTGGGCAGTTGTCTGACCCTTCTGTCTTATTTTCTTATCCTTCTCCTCAGCCTGAGTTCTTTGTTAAATACTTTGAGAGCAATCTGAAACATGTCCTGGAACGGGGTTTTGGGACCCTTCTCTAGTTTCTGGAGCTTCCTATGAATGTCATAGGCCAAATTATTAATGAAATTTAACCCTAGAATGGTTGCTCCCACAGGCTACTTGGGGTCCAAATCTGTATATTTTCACATTGCCTCGAGGATGCGGTCCCTGAACGTCGCTGGGTTCTCCCCCTCCTCTTTCATTATCTCATTAAGCTTATCATAGTTCAACTGCTTCCGGAGGGCATTTTTGGTTACTTTAAGGATACAAATTAGCATATGATCTTTTAGGTACCTATCTCTAGCATCAGTATGGTCCCATTTAGGATCAGACTTTGGGACCGCATCCTCCCCAGTAGGGTATCTCCCAGGAAAGTGAGTAGCAAGCTGTTCTCCATGTGCTTGGGCAGCCTCCCAAATCATCCTTTTTCTTCTATAGTATAGCATTTAGACAGAATGAGGTTAATGTCTGACCATGAGAGATCAGATTGAAGGGGAATTTCCTCTAGTTCCTCTTGAAATTTGGTGGGGTTTTCCGGGTGATGGCCTAATCTCTCCTTGAATTGTAACAGACTTGAGACTGGAAAAGGGATATGGACTTCTGTATGACCTCCTGCAGGGTCTGGTACCTCATGAATGGGCATTGTAGGTGCAGGTGGTAGGGAGGCAGGGTTGGGCAGGAAAGGAGGAGGGGGAAGATATGGGGGTCCTCCCCCCATATGTGGAATGGTGAGGGTTCTGATCCTTCTGCATAAGAGGGTGATGGGGCTGAGGGAACTGGGGACTGCAACATCTTGTGGATGCCACGATAAGGGTCCAACTGAGGGGTCTTGGGAGTTAAAATGGGGTCATCTAAAATATCAGGAGACTCATTCAAGACTTTCTTTGAGTCTATTTTAGGGACAGGTTCAAGATCCATAAGAACTGTAGGGGGTCCAAATTGAACATTTCCTAAGAGCATTTTACAATTCTCCCAAATAGCAAAGCCAGAATCCTTTCAAGCAGGGCTTTATTGTAAAAGCAGATGGAACCATGAAGCTAAGGATACTGGTTGGTTGTTAGAACAGAGAAGGAATGGGGGTTTTTATAGGTAGTGGGGAAGGAGGAACAGAGGATGTCCCCTATGGGTTTGACAAGGAAAATGTCCATGTGCGCAGGTGCAAGTGTTAAACATCAGCAAATGCATGCTGGGGGCTGTAGAATTTACATAGTCATGAAGTTATAATTAGGATTGATGAGTCACAAAAATTGTTCTTGGGGCAAGAAAGGACGCACTGCATTTGTACTTGCATGAAAGTTAGGGAAAGTCTCTAAAGCACAAGGTGGCTGTTCATTGGAGAAGGAAAGAGATTTTCAGACTGCAGGGGCCTCACAGGGGTCTCAGGGGGGAGCACCAGGATGAGTTATAAGATCACAGGGAAGAAGAAAAGAAGAAGGAAAAAAAGGGCACTGCCTTTACGTCTGCATCAAGACACTCCTTGCTTTCGCTGAACATACAGAGTCTCCCAAAGCTCTCTCTCTTCATAATTTCTGGAGTCAAGCTGAAGTGAGCTCAGTAGTTTGGAGGAAGTTCCTTTATACTTGTAATTATATCATCCTCTAAGTGTTCTGTTTCCTGCCTCCTCTTCCTCTAGCATTCGAACCAATTTCAAACGCAAATGGTTGTGAAAATAAATAAAAGAGGAAGAAGAGAATGTAGTATCAGAAGCAAACAATTTTTAAACTTCATCTTATCTTCTTTTCATCCTTTTGAACTCACCTACTCTTCCATGCATAGCAATTTTCTAGAGTGAGGATAGAGTTGCGTTAATGCCCTCAATCTGGAAAATTCAGGCACGAAAGTTCACTTTGCCTTCAGTGAAGGAATTTCTTTTAAAATTAACCAGATAACTGTCTCCATTTTCCTCTGCCCTTAGTTTGTATAAACTCAACTTTGTTGATACTTATCCAATTTAAAAAAATTATTTACCCAGCAAAACACTGCTAAACATTGAGAATGCTGAGATACTGACTTGTACCCCTCAGGTTAGACACAGAAAACAAATAAACTTAAGCTTACCTGTGCCACAAGTTTGGCCTAGAACAGACCAATATAAATAAGCATATCCTGTCTAAGGCCATTACTTGGTTTCTTGAAAAAAAATATATATATATTATTATTATTAAGCAAAATAATGATGGAGAGCAGTTCTTTTCCAGTAGGTTTAGTTATAAATAAATTAATAATGGCTTTATTGCAAAATAATCTTGGTCAGACAATGTGGAACATTTCCATGCTTTTCACTGTGGCACCTTCAGGAAGTCAGAAGAGGAAAATACAAGTGCTGGCTCCTCCCAATCAGAAGGCTGAGCTGACTGGTGTGACTAGGGGATTTATACCAAATCTTGTATTTTCCCTTTGAATTTGGTGACCCATTTAAACAACCTGAAAACACTTGAAACCAACAGACTGAGAGAAAGAATTAGTCACTCTGGTCCTTTTGGTTAAGGTTGATAACGTAATGGTTAATTCAGTGTAAGGTGACCACTGTTTTAGTGTATCCTCTCACTTTCCCACTGTTTTTGTTTGTTGTTACTGGTGGTGGTGGTGGTGGTGTAGGTACCACCATAGGCATCAATGACCCTTGGGAGCTGACTGAATGGGCATTAAATTTTTATTCCCAGAAGATTTACAATGTACTCTCTGGGTGTGTCAGTATTTCCTTCGCCAAAAATAGAACTCATTTCTTTGAGGAGTATGAAAGGGACAAGGGGCTCTGGGAATCATGAGGATTGTTTATAATCTGAATAAACATTAAAGTAGGGATAGAACTATTATATTTTTTTTTAACTTCTTCACAAACAGTTTAATTTTAGATTCCATTTGCTGTTCTCTTTCTTAATCGAAGCCAGAGGTCAGCTGTGGATGCTGAGAAATGTCAGCAGAGGGGACAAAGTCAGAGCTAGGGGAGGAAATCTTGATGAGTAATATTGTAACTTGTGGAGGCCGAGATGAATCCAGAAACTGAGCTTACTAGAGTGTGTTCAATGATATAGCATATTTTTATAGAGAGTGGTTGTTAGGGAAAGGGAGGAGTGCTGGAGGGCAGAAGACCTAATTACCTCTTACACACAAGTAGAAAATGCAGAATTGTAGGGGGTATCTAAGCAAATATGCTCGTTTCACCCTCAATTCTGGCAGTCCTATTCTTCCCAGCCCAGAAGACAGGAACAATTCACCCATCTCTGGGGATGCAGATCTAGGCTAGGACATGTCTCTAATGCAGAGGTTCTTAGAATTATAATAATAATTATAACAATAAATTATAAATAATAATATTATTTTTCTCATGACACAATATTTTTTGCAGTGAAGATTCAAGGCACGTTAAATGTTTAATGGTTAACAGAGTAGGCTTCCCTAGCCATCACCAAAGCTTTCAGATTCCTTTGCCTTTCCTTAACCTTCCCTTCCCCCTCCCATCCTTTCTCTTTACTTCCTCAGAATTCACAGGGAAGGAGGTAAAGAAGGCTTTGCTCCTCCAAGTGTTTCTCCAGCCTTGCAAACAGCAAACAGCAGAAAGCAGATAGTAAACTCCAGCTAGGGACAAGAGCTGAGGAATGTGGAAGTCTTCCTGGTATACCTAGGGAAGTCTGCCAAGGCATACCTTTTGAGCAACTACTCTAATAGCTTAGCCTTGGAAGACTGGTGAGATTCTGGGCAGTAGTTCTTTACCTGAAGATCTGTGAACATGTTTTAGAAATATGCTCCCTGCTGTAGCTCAATATAATTGGCTTCCTTTGCAATCCTATGTATTTTATTTTATAAATTTAAAAACATTCTTCTGAGAAGTCCATAGGCTTCAGTAGACTGCCAAAGGGTACATGATACAAAAATGGTTGAGAATCTGCAAGTCTAGAGCCTATTGAATTCTGTTCCTAAGAGGTCTGAGGAGTTGGCTTCCTTTTAATATTCTTAAATCACCTTAAACTACCTTTTAAGCAGGACTCCCACATGATTCTGTGATGTGGCTGTAGTCCAGTCTTCCCTGGGTTATGCTAGACAAGGGATTCTCCCCAGCTGCTCCCTTCTTCCCATCCTAAAAAGAGGATAGATGCCCAAAAATCGGAGGTTAAGCCAGAATCATGAAATTCAGGTCTAAAGGGAGTAATTTTTTGTCATAAACTAAAAAACTTGTGGCTTTATAATGTAACATCAATAGCATAACTACAGTAAGCAGAGTTCTATTTTCTCTGCCTCTTGCTGGTACCAAGTGACTTTTCCTGTTTGACTGATGCTTCTTATCAGTGTATTCCTTACAAACTGAATTTATATGTAAGGAGCAAGAAGAATAGCAGGAAAGAGAAGTCATGTATTGAAGAGCTGCCTAGATCAGTACCAGATAAATAATAATAATAATAATAGCATAATAGTTATTGATATTCTTTAAAAATGTAGATCTGATGATATACATTAAATGTAAAAATATGAAAAGAGCACAACATACTTTTGATGATTATGTATGTTTAGAAAAGAAGACTTTAAGTAAGCAAAATTTTCTAGCTCTACCAGTCTCTGGATGTGGAACTCAAAAATGGTAGGGTTTTCTGAAGAAATGTGATATCCAGCACTGAGAAATGCAGTTCATTGTGACAGCTGGGAGGACTTGGCACTAACAAAACAGTTGCTTAAGTCATGTGATTGAAAAACATTCCCTCAATGACCACTTCAGAGAACACCTTCCTAGGTAATTATTGTCCCTGACTTTCCCTACCTTAGAGGTTTTCTCCCTGCTGGCTGCACTGTTCGAGTCACATTGCTTTTTGAAGAATTCCTCAAGATATTTCTCCTCCTACAGAGTTACTTTCCTAGGCTGAACTTTAATGGTAAATGAATCCTTCATACCAGGGTCCCCTAGCCTAGTAGTAAATCCCTGCCTACTAAAGCATAGTATTAACATAAGAGTAGCCTGTGGGATTCCTAGCAGTTTTACTTCAGACCTTATTACTATGAATAAAAAATATCAAGGGTAGGGATTAAACTCATTAAATTCTATATTTATAGAATAGTTCACATTTTGCAGCTAATCCACAATACTAATGCAATCTGTTTGTTTCTATGACAAACGTATGCATAGCAGAAATTCTATGACAAAATTAACAAAAAACATTGAACAAAATGCATTAAAAAAACATTATTTCCCCTGCTTCTTTCTTCCGAACACATGAATACTTAGCCATCTTTTCTTCTTTGAACATCCCTTCAGCGTTAGGCCACAAAAGAGAATAACTCACAATACAGAGAAATCTTTACTGTAAGCAATTCAAACTGTGGGGAGCAGGGCGTGATACAAGCCCTTCACCCTACTGTTACCTGGCGGGGGAACTTGGGAAAAATTAAATCTATCACAAGTCACCAGTCCAACACCCAACCTTAACCAAATCTAGAGATTATTACAGGCCAGATTAAAATATAAACAGCACATTTGAAAGATGGAGGGTTGAAGAAGGGAACTCAGTAAGCCCTTACATATACATGATAGAAATCGCTGTGATCCTTACAATAGCCTAGTAGAGTAGAGATCATTATTATCCTCTTTTTACGGATGAGAAAATTGAGACTCAGAAAGGTGACTGATTTGCGCAAGGTCACACAGCTAGTGTTAAGACATCAGTCACCCTGTGATGTGACCAATACAGCTCTCTAAAAGATCAAAATGATCCATTATCCTACCATGCAAAGAAAGAGTTAGACTCAGTTTCAATTTTTCAGAAGCCTGAGACTTAAGTACAGTTTGTGGGTGTGTGGGTGTGTTTTCTGACTTACCATATTTGATATGTTTTCAATCACTTCATATGTAAAAGAGTAAAAATGTGGCAGGCATAGCATTTATCTCTCTGCTCAGCTCACCATAGGATTTTATTACATTTTCTCTTTAGTCTTGGAAATACTAGGAAAGCACGCTTGATTAATAAATAACAATGTGTCCTACAAGCATGTGCCCTTTCATTGTTAAACTGCGTTGTACTCTATGGTGGTTGCAGTTTATAGATTTCCCTTAAATCACCAAAAAGTACATTTATGAGAGCAATTTAAATTTGGTGAACACTGAGCCATTTTTCTCAACTCTTAAAGTCTGCTTAAAAACAGGAAACCACATTTCTCCACCCCAACCCACCATCCACTGAGATGTTCCATATCAGGTTTGACTTATAGTTTTCCAACCACTCCTAAATTTGGCCTGGTGCCTGCTTTTATCTTAATAGGGCACCCTTCTCTGGACACACACACATGCACACATGCACATAGCCTCCACCTTTGCCCATCACTAAGGAATCTGGGCTGTGGGTGGCAGGTGTCTGGCCTCTCATCTCTCTCCTCAGGGTTAACTCTGACTTATTTGCTATAGCTCAACTCTGACTTCCCTTTCTGGTAGAGCCAAGACCATCCCTGCTGCTGCCCCTGCCCCAACACTTCTTGTCACAGGATGGCCTCTAAATAAGGTATCCTGACCCTCTCCCAGGAAAAATAAAGTACAGAGGTTCAGCCACTCAGGTCCAGAGATTCCCCATCCTTCCCTCCCCCCACCATAATCTCCAGCCTCCCCGTGGTATTTGAACTTACTTGCAGTGGATCGTGTCTCCCTCTGGGGTGCCTCTGTCTCTTAGCTCTTGCTTCTCAGTTCTGGCAGTTATGAAAAGGAAGGAAGTTGAATAGAAGAAAAAAAAAGTTTTAGACCTACTTGAAGAGGAAACTCCGAGCTGCCTCAAATCCTGTTCCTTTGCAAAGAGCTACATATCAGGACATATCTTTTGATAAACAGCCTGCACAAGAGCCTCTTAAGTAAATTGTGCATTTAGCAAAATGATTGCTCCTGTGGAAATGATATGCATGAAGTGTGCATTTGACCAACAATTATTGTGAATACATGCATGCATATGTTTATGTTTAGGTATGCAGAAGAGTTTAAGCATATAAGTTTATAGAGGCCCTGAAACCCAAAGGCCCTGAGTTTTCCCGGTACTCTACTTTTGTAAATAGCTCTTCACATAATCTTGGCTCCCACCTGGTTTATCTGCAAAATGTAAATAACAACGTCTAACTTGGAAAGAGATTTCTGAGACATCTCTATTGTAAATAAATATTGGCTGTGAAAACGTCAATGATAAGTGCATACGTATAGAAGTCTTAATTTTTTAGTTAGTCCCCATGTAGACAATTGTAATTAAGAAAGGAACACTCCATCAAAGACTTCAGAATTACCAACAATTGGGAAGTGATCACCATGCAATTTTCTGTGAAATGCAAAGTTAGTAAGATTTTTAAATTAATTAATTAATTTAATTAATTTAATGCCATTAACTAATTAAATCAATGTCACATTATTTACACCTTTGAAGGCACAATTTCTCTTTTACCCAGTAACCTTCCTAATGTAAATTCCCCTGTTTTCATTCCCCTAAAGTCAATGGGAAATTGCCCCCTCAATCTGAGTTTATGGCCCAATTTCCCTTTCCTCTCCTTCAATTCCTATAAACTCCAGCTAGCCAGGACTACCACCTATTGTGTTCCTGGAACTTGAAGAATCATCTCTCACCTGTGAGTATTTGCGCAGGCCATCCCTCATACCTAGAATGTTTTCCCTTCTCATCTCTTCCTTTTAGAATCCTTCCCTTCCTCAGCTCTATGGCTGGCTTTTCTCTTTCACCCTCAGCCCCTGTGAAAGTGTTCTCTGTTCTTTCTTCAAATATACATAGACCAGGGGTGGGGAACCTGCAGCCTCTAGGCCACATGTGGTCCTCTAGGTCCTCAAGTGAGGCCCTTTGACTGAATACAAACTTCGCAGTACAAATCCCCTTAATAAACGATTTGTTCTGTAAAACTTGGACCCAATCAAAAAACCTCACCCAAGGACCTAGGCCACAGCAGGTTCCCTACCCCTGACATAGACCTTTTTGTCTGGATCTTACCTCTGTCGCTTCCCACCCCAGCTATCCTGTACATAACAGTTGCGATATTTGCCTTGTAGCTCTATTCCCAAGTAGAATGTGAGGAATGCGATGGAAGGATACAGTTTGGTTTTTATCTTTGAATTTTCCTGGTCCAGAGCAGTGCCTTGCACATGGTAGGGGTTTAATAAATATTTGTTAAGTTGAATTTAACTGCAATGAATTAAGAAATACAGTTTAACCACTGTTTCACGTGATAGCCTATCTGAACTACCTGAAAACAGATCCATCACAGTGTAGTCACCTTGCTGGGCTCACTCTTCCAACTCTCACTCACAATGGCAGACTGGGTCAACAGAGTGAAGCTAACTCCTACACCATTCAGGATTCTAGAAGTAACACTGAGTGGTTGGGATTTCTATCACTATACTCCTTAAGCCCCCATCTAGTGTGCCCCTTATTATCAATCAACCAGTAGAACTCTATTAGAGTTGAGAAAGCTATGGTAAAAATAGTTGTTAAAAAAAATTCTCCCCTCAACCCAGGGGACACACTCTCCTCTTGCACCAAAGTTCTTGGGGGAAAGTTGCCTAAAACAAAGTACAAAAGCAATAGGGAATATGTGTGGCCCTGGAGTACCTGCCAGCTCCTAGTCTTCAAGATTCTTTTCTCCCTTTGTGGAGTCACCATGAGATTCCCTTTGATGCAGCTCTCCATTGGGCTCTGAATATGGTTGCCTTTCTAAATCTACTTTGCATTTCTTCTCTATTGAGAGGACTGATAATCCCTATAGCCACCACCATCCATCCTTTGACTTGCAGAAGTTTCCTCTGTCATCAGCTGCTGCTCCTACCTCCAGTGGACTCTGCTATTGACCTATTAGGACTTCTGATGGTTCTTCTGACCTTTTAAAGTTCACAAGGTCATAAGCTGATCAATTCTGCATCTGAAAACTCTGTTGGCTAAGATCAGGAAAGCACCGTTTCTTCTGTTAACAAAAGAAACAGAAGTATCATGTGCTCACAGATGCATGGCAACCAAAGGGAGGAATACAATTTGCTACTGCTCCCACACAACAGCTCATAGAAGGGTAAAAAAAAAAACCTTACGAGATTGGCATTATCCCTTTTTTATATGAACTAAGAACCAGGTCAGCAATCCCAAACCATCATCAGAAGACTCCATTGTTACACAGTACCAGCCACTCAATTACAAGTGGATGGAAACAGGTCCTCCCAAGTACCATTCACTGGATTGAAATCAGACAAAATGTCTGCACAGTAACCCATCAGGGAGTGCAATCTGAGCATTCTATAAGTACTGGGCCCTTGTTGTCCAGTTCCGCATTTTTGTCAGCATCAGTTTCTTGCCTCTATATTTCTTAGTCCATTTTTCTCTTTGAGAAGAAGCCACTCCCCACTCCTTTTCTCTGGTCCCTTGACTTAAATCTGTGTATCATGGGTTGCTAATTCCTTAATTAAGGTTGCATTAGTATGTACAAACGGCCTCAGGGACATCTTTAGAACCTGTTTGGATACTAAAATTTTGTTACAAATCAATTTGAACATTTAAAAAATAGCTAATTAAAGCAACAACAAGCAAAAAATTAAACTGATTTCATTACTTTTGTTCAGTGAAGAAAGATTAAAAATAGAATTTAAAAGGGAAAGAGTGCTAGAGTTCTATGCCCCCTGTTGTCTGACATGTTATCTTGGACACAGTAGTTGTTTCTTTCTCACTCTCTTTTGCTGGATCTTCTCTTCCTCTCTTACCCCCAACTGTAGTGCACCTTAAGGCTCTATTCTGAGCCTCTTCCTTTCACTCTCTACACCCTTTATATTTGTTATTTTATCAACTCCCAAGGATCAATTTATCACCTCTATGCAGATGACTACTGGGTATGCAGGTTTATTTTCTCTCTTGAGCTCCAGTCTTGCATCAAGAAAGGCCTGCTGAACAATCCCCATTGGATGTCTTGTAAATATCTCAAATTTAACATAGCCAAAATAGAACTAATTCTTCTCCATAAACCCACTTCACTTTTGAATTTTCCTATTTCTTTTTTTTAAGCAATATTTTATTTTTTCCCAATTACATGACAAGAAAATTTTTAGCATTCATTTTTACAAGATTTTAAGTTCCAAATTTTTCTACCTCCCTCCCTCGCCTTCCCTTTTCTGAAGATGGTAGGAAGTTTGATTCAGATTATATGTGTGTTATCATGTAAAACATATTTCCATATTAGTCATAGCTGTGAAAGAAAAAACAGATTAAAAGGGGAAACAAACAAAAAAGAATAAAGTAAGTGAAAAAATGCTTCAATCTGTAGTCAGAGTCCATCAGCTCTTTGTCTGGATATGGATAGCATTTTCCATCATAAGTCTTTTAGAATTTTCTTAGATCATTGCATTGCTGAGAAGAGTTAAGTCTGTCAAAGTAGATCATTGCACAATGTTGCTATTACTGTGTACAGTGTTCTCCTGGTTCTGCTCACTTCCTTCAGCCTCAGTTTATGTAAATCATTCCAAGTTTTTCTGAGATTCTTTTGCTCATCATTTCTTAGGGAATGATGGTATTCCATTACATTCATATACCACAGCTTGTTCAGTCATTCCCCGATTGATGAGCATCCCCTCAGTTTCCAATATTTGGCCACCATGAAAAGGGCTACTATAAATATTTTTTGCACATGTAGGTTCTTTTCCCTTTTTTATGATCTCTTTGGGATACAGACCTAGTAGTGGTATTGCTGGATTAAAGGTTATGCAAAGTTTGGTTGCTCTTTGGGCATAGTTCCAAAATGCTCTCCAGAATGGTTGGATCAGTTCACAACTCCCCCCACAATGCATTAATGTCTCAATTTTCCCACATTTTCTCCAACATCTATCATTTTCTTTTTTTTTGTCACATTAGCCAACTTATAGGTGTGAGGTGGTACCTCAGAGTTGTTTTAATTTACATTTATCTGATCAAGAGTGATTTAGAGCACTTCTTCATATGCCTATAGATAGCTTTGATTTCTTCATCTGAAAACTGCCTGTTTATATCCTTTGTCCATTTATTGATTGGGGAATGGCTTGTATTGTTATAAATTTGACTCAGTTCTCTATATATTTGAGAAATGAGGCCTTTATAAGAGACACTTGATATAAAGATTGTTCCTCAGCTTTCTGTGTTCCTTCTAATCTTGATAGCATTGGTTTTGTTTGTATAAAAGCTTTTTATTTTAATATAATCAAGATTATCTGTTTTACATTTTGTAATGCTCTCTGTCTCTTGTTTGGTCATGAATTCTTCCTTTCTCCATGGTGTCACCCTTTATGTATAAATCATGCACCCATTTTGATCTTATCTTGGTATATGATGTGAGATGTTGGTCTATACCTAGTTTACGTCCTATTGTTTTCCAGTTTTCTCAGCAGTTTTTACTGGATAGTGAGATCTTATCCCAAAGGCTGGAGTCTTTGGGTTTATCAAAAACTAGGTTATTATGGTCATTGATTACTGTGTCTTGTGTATCTAATCTATTTCACTGATCCATCACTTTATTTCTTAGCCATTACCAAATAGTTTTGATGATTACTGCTTTATAATATAATTTGAGATTTGGTATTTCTAGGCCATGTTCCTTTGTCTCCAGCTTCTTACCTTTACTCTGTGTGTGTGTCTCTCTGCTTCAGGTGTGTTTCTTATAAACAACATATTGTAGGATTCTGGTTTTTGATTTACTCTGCTATCCACTTC